CCCTATCCCTTTTTCTTAAAAAAAATACCGAATTGTATCCATAGTTTATCAACAATTGTGATATGAATTAATTAAGGAAGAAATTATGGAAAAATTAGTAAAATATTACGCTATAATTTTGGAAACAAAATGATCGCATTCAAAACGTTAAGAAAGCTAAGTACAGAATAACATATTTGCTGAACTAATATTAAGTTTGATTGAAACCCAATGCGCCATCAAGGTAAAAATTAGTTTCGAGAATTTGAATTTTTGTAGAAAAAGTCAAAATATAATCTTTGCATTTGTACTGATTGAATGTGAGCCATTATATCTAAACAATGTCGCATGTGTGTGTAAAAAGTGTTATCTCGTTATCCATATGAATCATAATACTATTTTATAAGTTTCTATTTCCAGCTTGATATTTCTTCAAATTAGGGAATAGTACTGCTATAATGCACTACACATGTACTCAATAAGTCACTGAATTCAAATAAACGTAAAATGTGACTAGATTTTATGAACAAATAAACTTTCTGATGTATGCTTTGCAGAGATAGTTATGAATTGTTAATGTAGTTTTGGATAGTTAAAGAAGATTTTGGTAGTTAAAGTAGGTTTTAGTAGTCGAACAGACTCCAGCTGCCAGCACCATTGGTAAAATTACCTCGTCGTGATAAGTGCCAAGGTTTAGCGGTACTTACCATTGCATATGACGGTAATGCCACGTACAGGCACGTCACGTTACGTTTCCTCATTATAACGAGTAAGTCTTCTGCAATATCTTGTGCTGATTTGTTCATTGCACTTTGCAAAGCTAGTAAGCACGTGCGATTTCCATTGCAAATGCTGAATAAGAAAATTGGAAATAGAAGGTAGAAGCAATAATTTTAACTTAAAATAAATGATCAACAGAAGTATTTGTTATAAAATAAGATATGCATTATGCTGATTATTTCAGTCTAGTTTTCAAAATTCATTAATTTAAATATAACACCCGAATTAACGGAACTAGTGTGTTTACTGGTTGCTGATAATTTCATTGAACTTTGATTTGAATATATGACTTCAGTTGTTATGCAATAACTCTTTACAGATTATTTATAATTTGATTTACATTGCGTTTAGTATTTAAATGAATTTATGATTTGAAAAAGTTATTTTCTAGTATTTTGGTACACATTATTATACTTATCTCAATTCATTTAACAAGTACTACCTTACACACGACTCGTCATGATTGTAAATGGAAAACCCATTTTAAGGTCGACATCGACAGAAATTATATTTGCTCTCATATTGCTTATTTAACAGTGGAGTAATGTTTATTGTCGTAACAACATTATTTGCAGTACATGTGTCCTCGCGTTTTATATATTTAACAAATCTTGTGGGGAAAACCTTTCCTATTTACCTTATACCATATAGGTAATAGACTGTCTTTTACCTCCATGGTTATACCTATATAGTAGGTGAATCGCAAAATGGCGACCTTTAAGCTCCGGATAACATAACACTAAACCATAAAATAAACTTATACCATATAGTAACACTCATTGTCTACTTCGTAATGGGAATCAATGTACATGTACTTAAAACATGTAATTAGCTTGATATGAGATTAGCCATAAATCAACATTTCATTGACCTACATATCTATCATATGCATATTATATGATTAAGCTCCCTGCTGGGAATTCTGTTTCTGAAAAAAAAAATGTATGTGACCGTATTCTACTAAATGATGTTTATCAAATAATATTGTTGACACGCCCACTTATATCAAAACAGATTACTGCGATAGTAGGTATCCTTAATACGCCGTTATGTAGCCAAGTGTTTAACCATTATATTGTATAATTCGTTAATATCCAAATAAATTGTATTGGAATTTGGGTCCCTCACATCTTCTACTTTAAAGCCCATTTGTTCACTACAGATTCAAATTGTCCGTGTTATCACGTTCTCCGATTACAGTGCCCACTCTACTCCACTATTCAAACAACCTGTGATTCTGGATTTCGATTTAAACAATTAAACATTTGCACATATGAAAACAACTATCGCGACCAAATTAATGCCCACCCTGCTATGCATCAAGTCAATGATATTTTTACAACTCTAAATCAAGCTCTTGTTTCCATAGTTTCAAATATACTACCACTGAACACTGTAATGCTCCTCCTAAAACAGTTTCAGATCTAGTCGATCATTTGATTTAAAATTCTGTCAAAACGTACTGATTGATTGACTTATCAATTACATATTTACTTGCTGATCACATCACATCACATCACCTTATTGGTGTTATTACCTTCCCCCGCTTTTACATCTCCAGTGTACTGAAATGTATGACCTTCCACCACATATTCCATTGCCGACCATAGCGGCCATATCTTGTATCACCCTGGGTCGGGTAAGATGCAAGTCAATTAAGTGTAAGATCTCATCCTTCTTTGGTAGATGTCTACCAGCGAAATTCCTAGGTTGATATATTCCAACACAGGGTACATGACTGACATCATCGATCGTGACGTCATCATTTAACACTTCCGGTAGATTGATTCCGAAAGTGTCGTTGAACAATTTTAGGTGGCGTTCGTAGTCCCCTGTACCTGCCAATGCTATTACAATATCCACAGTACCGTTGCAGTTGCGCTTAAACTCATTTCTATATGCCACACCAACTATCCGTCTAAGTTCTTCAACGTCAAATGTCTCGTTTAGATACTTCCAGCCGATGGCTTGTCTTTCTTGTGAAAAGTGCGTATGAAACCAACTTTCTACAATGGTTCTATTGGAATAAAGTGCGTAGAGCACGGCCATTCGAAAATGTTCGTAATTGTAGTTGGGTCCACTGCCAAAGTGGTGAATCGGCAACAGATATTGTTTATTCACTGGAGGAATAATTGGTTCCACGTCATTCTTTAGCAGCGAGTCGTTCGCTTCATTGACTGAGTGTACCTTTTGAAACATAAATAACAGTATAATTATCGTAGACTATTTCAAACAGCAGCGGACCATATACTAGTAGATATAGCTTCTAATACAAATAAATGCAGTTGTTTATATTAGGCACGACGAGTGCGACACTTCAAAATACAATATGCACAAAGGATTATAAGCCTTGTGTAATCTAAACTCGTGGTGATTTTCATTCAGAAATTCATCGCCTCGCGCATGAGTTTCAGTTTTCGAGAAAAAATAGACTATTTGCCAAATATCATCAATTAAAACGCTGCGAATTATGTTTATATGTGAATTTGCAATGCAATAGTGTTTCATTCAAGTTGTCGAATAAAACTGTTGATAATCCGACCATATTAAATAAAATACTTATGTGTTTCCAAATGAAATTACAGTTTTACGAATTGAAAATGTGATTATTGAAAATTGAAAAATTAAATCAGAGGCTGTGATATATTTGCTATTTGGGTATTCCTATTTTACAAATTTGCGTAATATGGAATTATTTTGTTCCAACGTAATGCACGATGGAAAGGAATAGTAAACAACAGTTTAGGATTGATCTTTTGTCTGATTGGCATACATTACACATTAGAGTAGAGTAAATCTCTTACTTTTCTGTCGACGTCCACCTTGGCTATATGTGATATGGTTTTGTTCTCCGATCGTCCTTGGGTGCTGGTGTGCGTCGTTAATACAGTGGTGTTTTCTGGCCAATATCCAGGTACATTTCCGGCGGTCTCTTCGCTATTGAGGACATGATGATTCTTAATATATGACACGTCATTCACTCCAAACAAGTATAGCAAAAATGATAAAATAGAGCCGACAAAAAGAAGAGCGGTGAAAATTTGGATTTTTGTCACCGTGGCCATTTTCGGCGTACGTCAAAATGACGCAGATATTTATTTAATGGACAGCTGAAAAAACATACACAAAAGCTGGTACTGACATGTGACCAACTATTTTTATCGTTATTTCAAGTAGTTTTCACTGCATGAAAATTCGAATTTCTGTCGTAACCGCTTGCCGGATTAGCAACGTGTTTTGCAGTAAATCCGTTGTTTATATTTGGGTGTGTAAACGTTCGAATTTCCCTCGCGTAACCGTCGAAACTGAAACGACGTAAATTTAAAAGTTGCGCGTTTGATACGCCCAATGTAAACAGCGGAAATTTCCAAATTTGCTGTCGTTTTACGTTGAACTTAAAGAACTGATATACTACGTTGCCCGTTGTATATTTTCAGCGTAAATTGACGGGCAACTCTGAGTTTGTCGTTGTTTTACGTTCAACTTATTAAGCGGAAATCAAGCACCTTGAACTGCCGCACTACTGGCTTGACATGGTAGAA